TTTGCGGTCGATACGCAGCCTTTCCCGACTAGGAAGCTGTGAAATATTGCCAACGTGCCACCATTTTCCTTTTTTCTCTATAAATTCATGGTTTCGTACATATAATCAACGATCGAATATTAATATCGTGGAATTATTGGAACTTGATACACGAGTTGTGAATTCAAGAGGCACGTTACTTTAATATTATTTTAATTGAAGAGTATTTTATTTAATATTTCTCTTCCTTATAGATCGGAAAATAAATACGATGCTTCGACGTATGAAACGTACGCTAAAATTACTGCGGACCTTTTTCGTTTTTTGCAACAAATTTTCTATCGGCAGGCGCTGATTTAGTGTTAATTTCACCTCCATGAGAAATAAATTCTAGCGTCCCAAAATATTGGAATTCTGTCGGGGTAATTTGTATTCTGCTCGAGCGTGAACAGGATGTAACACGAAGTAACCGACTTTTCCAGCATTTTAGGTGACTGCTCCATTTCTACCTGTAATTTAGTTTACTACCACTGGTGATGGAACTGATGCTACATATTGATGGTAGTCCATTTATAGCCCTTTCAAATATGAAAACCAAATAGAAAACTACTTTGTTACCCTTCGTGTAGACTCCATTGATCTTGAAAACATCTATTTTCTCCGACGATACGATCGATCGCTAAATTAGAAAACTCAATAATTCGATAATTTCATTCCAAAAAGGTACTGTGTACATCGTGGTACCATCGTACAAATAAAATAATACATTGGGGTCGTTTGATCATCCCTTGAAAAAATGCAAATTTTCCTTTTTCACGGAATAGTTTCAGAACGACGAGATGTATCGAACAAAAGCTTCAACAAAGGTTGCACATTTTTTTTTATGTGCATACAAGGCGTCCAAAAAGTCATACTTGTCAAGTTATCCTCAACACCGATCGTTACAGACGAGTGACGAAAGAAAATAGAACGTATATAATCGATTATACAGAGTTTTCTACGCAACTGTCGCACTATGGTGTTAAAACGATAGAAAAGAATATCATTTGGGACAATTAAATAGTTCCAATAAATACAAATATTTCGAGTTCTCCGTCTGAATCGTACCGTCGCGGCGGTACTGGCCAGGTAGTCGCGTGAGTTTTCTTTTAAACTCTGAGGGGTTGTAAGGCCCTCTTAACCTTCGTGGTACGCGGGTTCCTAGCCGTCGCTCGCCAAATTAATCTTGAGCGACTATTGAATTGCCGGATTGTTTCGAATCGAAATCCGAATGTTCTCTTTGATGTCGAATAACGAGTTGTTGCTCACGAACCGCTTGAGCTGAGGTTTCGCGAAATGATCTTCAAACAACGAATGGTTCACGAGACGATTTAACTTTCTAAGCTGCGATTTCTTCGAAGATCGAATGACGAGTGTTCCCGAAACGATGGAACTGCAGATTTTGGAACGTTTTTGTCTGAGATTTCAGCGACGAGTTAAAGAAGATTTCGCCCGTTGTCTTCGAACTTTTAGCGACGAGTGAGATTTCGATCGTTGTTGTCTGAGGTTTCAGCGACGAGTGTCGAAGTGTCCGGAGCCCGTTTTCTCCTCGGCTCGAACCCCCTCCGAGACGCGATTTTGGGGGTTCGTCAACCGATTCGCGTTGACTTTTTCCGTTTATCGATTGGCCATCGACTTGGGGGAGGAGGATCGATTTTCCTGCCCCGTTGGCCAGGAAACTCCTCCCTCGCGCGATCGTGGAGGAGGAAGAGTCCCATCTCACCCTGGACGAGGGTGACCGAGGTTTCCTCCCCAAGTCGAAGGCCCCGTTAATTTTGCCGAGGAAAAAACGGGACTCCGAATTACGCCTAGCTACACGTGCGTTACAGACGTTTTATGGCTGCATTGTTCCATGAGTTGGCGACGGTTGTTGTAGAGGACCGTGCCACCCGCGGAACAATGCAGCCCTTGGTCGGTCAACTCGGGCCTTGCACTTTCGAAAAGCTAAAGCGCTTGAATGCTTTACGATGAAATTTGCCAGATGCGGAATGTTCGAAGACTTTTTCGACAAAGTCAATGTTCCTTTTCTGGCACCATAAACGAGCGGAAAACCCCGAGCTGACCGGACGGAACACCGTCTGTTCTATTATAGTTTGAAATTATTAAATAAAATAGAAATATTAATAATGTACAAAGCAACGTCTAATGTGTGATTTTTCTGTTTCTTTTATCCTGAAAGTGTAGAAAGAAAAACATTTCATTCTGAATAAAACTGTATGTTTGTATTGTACTAAAACATAGTTTTCGTTAACTTTATTCGTAACTTGTACTCAAACCAGTACGTTTCGATTACTATTCTTTTTTATACTCTTCTTTCCATATGGTCTTCCGTGACAGAGATAAATTGTTCGCTGTGTCACTCGCCGGTTGAGAATTTCAGCATAGCAATCCTGTTCTGCAAAGGGAAAATTACCAGGTCCGATGGAAAAAAAATCTAAATACAGAAGGACGGCGCGGGGAATTTTCCAGCGACAGAAAAGAGAATTTGCTGGGAAACTCGACGACCGACCGCCAATTTCCTTCCGCTTTCTACTCTCTATTCGTACGTTCCACATTCTCGCTCGGAAAACTGAACCGTGCATCGCGCCCACGTTGTCCCCGCGGCCGGATATTAGAGTTTTATTGTCACGAGACACAATTATGTCGATGTTTGTCGTCGTCTCATTGTTTCTGTCTGAAATCCATCTTTTACGATCGCGCAAATCACTGATTCTGCGCTCTACTTATTTTTAGACGTCCCTGATTCCAAAGCCGAGTTTTTACTTTCCGAACCTCAAGGAAAGAAAACATTCTAATCGAGAAAAATTTCTGATATAATTTTTCTACATAAATCAGTTCAAAAGTAACGGTTTATGGGGGGAAACCACTGTTAAGGATTGAAAAAATCGAAATTTTGTTTACCTCTTTTCAATGCTTGGATTTTTAAGAATGAACCTCTAAAATATTAAAATAAAATTCGCGAAAATAATTTGCAGTGAAAATAACACGTCTACCCGTTTCCAACAAATTTTTTTAGACCTCTCACACTGGTTCCTATTATGGCTGTAATAATCAATATTTTTATATGAAATTTTTACAAGAAGTAGTCCAAGAAATATACTTTCGAAAACATTAAACATTCATCAGAGAAAGTTTCATAATTACGGTAAAAAAATTCTTGAAAATTGCCTTTATTATCAGTCGTCACAGTGGTTTTCCCCCTTAATAAAAATTTCCTTTACTTGTCTTTCCGTGAAGTTAATGATTTGAGGTTCGAGTTAAATATCATAGTTAAACATTGAGAACAATGGAAAGAACTTTTATACAACTTTTGAATTACCATTATTTTAATTCTACCTCACTTTCGCTTCTCCTTACTCCCCCTACTGGCTTACATCTACGAACGTGGAAAGTTTAAAGCGAATTCATTCCAATCGGGGATTCCATCGATTCCGAATACGATTCTTTATGGTTTCGTTCGTTTTCGCTTTCGCTTTCACAGCTCCAATTTGTTTCTTGGAAGTCGCCGAGAATTGATTCGATTTCAACCCCTCGCAAATATACGTCGATGACGTCGGAACCGGTACGAAATTCGCCTTTGGAAAATGGAAGATTCAATACGCTTCGCCGAACGAAACATTACACTTTTCACCCCCCTTGAGTAATGCAATTTCCACGGGCAGAGGAGAAAAAAGTTACACTCGCCGCGTAACTTCAAATCGACCGAAAGTTTCTTACGGAAGAGGTCGCCCTCTATTTCGGCAGCTTCCTCTCCGCAGTAACAATTATTGGACTTCCGGCGTCCTCGATTGTTGTCGAGGCTCGGCGGGGTCCGAGCCACCCCCGTTTTCCAGGGGAATCCCGTAAAAGAATGCCGGGACACGAAACCGGCGAGTCATGAATAGATGAGAGGCAGATAAAATTGAAAAGTTTGCCGCGTTCCATAGGGATCCTGTACACACGGTGCCTCTAAGTCGCCACTTTCGGCTACTCCCGGAGCTCTCGGTAGCGCGGACAGAGCTTATAGTTCCTCTCTTCTCCTTTGCCCAGGCGGGATTACGTCGCCGAGCTTATAACCGGCGGACATTCAGCCGCGGAAACGTTTCACCGTCGCCGCGATTTTCCGATCTGACCGCGGCAGAAAGAGCCTCTTTAGCGCGCTTCGCCATCCCCCGCTAAGGGGTACGTGACCCCGTGTCGACAGATTTTTTTTCATCGCTCTCCACTCGAGATCCTTGCTGAAAGAACCGAGATAATAGACGATGGTGCAATCTCGTTGCGTTAAAATTCGGTGTCGCGGCCCGGTTCTCCTACGATTCTACCGCGATAACGGATGCCAAAATAAACGATCCACGAGTGCTCGATTTCGTCGATTTTATCTGTACAGGGTTCAGAAACGGCGGAGCATATTACGGAAATACAGGGCGTGGTACATAACTGTCGTTACAATTTTTCAGATAGGGCAGACCGGGGCTAGAGGTTCCGATTTTGAGAAAAGATACAAAATTACTAGGAAATAATGTAATTACTTTTTCACTCCTAATTTATTGTTAAATTTATTATATTTCAAGATTTTCAGCTCAAATTTAATACATTGCAATAAGTTTTTCGTAAAAACTCGTTTTTTTGTAATCAGTCGAAGGGGAACTTCTTGCCTCGTCGTGCAATGGTGTACCAGATCCTTGAATTCGTCTTGACACGAGTTACAATAATATAAAACAAAAAATATGCAATGCTATTTTTAAAAATGAAAATGATCTTGGCTCTTTATAATACAAAAATTTTCTCTGACATTTTTTATATCTAAACTTGTTGGTGACCAGAAACTGATTAACTTTTGCCTGAAACACTTTTTCATCAGACTATTGGAAGTGCACAAAACCCAGTTCGATAACTTCGATCTAGCAACATTCCTTTAATAATTTCGTGTATATCTTAATATTAGCCAATAGCAACGATTCTATTTTGCCCCGCAAACTGACGATTTACGACGAATGTTGCAGGCAACAATCGCCAGGATCCGGTACAACCGGAACGTCGACGGTTTCCACGAACGGTCCCGATGGAGAAAATGGCCAAAGCATCGGTTTGTATCCGGTGGGCAGCGCTGGTCCGGCTGCGACGGAGGCAGCAACAGCTACGACGATCACGACGACAGCAACGGTGCCCTTGGTGGCCGCTGGCACCGTTGCTGGAACAGGAATAGGATCCAACATCACCAGGAGCGCGTCAGCGCCCACTGCACCGAGACCACTCGTCCAGGTTACCAGTTCTGCCAGCACCCCAGGCTCCCAGAGGCCCAGGTTGAGGAGGACCATGAGTCGCACAGAAACTATCAGGAAGTAAGTTCGTTTTTAAAAATGTATCCTGGTTCTGGCGAACGTAGCTGTCGAGAGCAGAGACGTCGAAGAATCATCGCACTGTGGAATATCAAACTTGAAGAAATTACTTTGTAGATCAAGGATAGGGGATTTCTTTTCTGCCTGCAGAAAATAATTTCAAGTTACTGCTCCACATGATATGATACTTTTGAGTTGTATATACTGTTAAGTAAACTCGGTCAAAGGGTAACTTGACTACATTTGCCATGGTAGGATTACATATAGTCGCACTATAATTGCTCCGTAATCACGCGACAATTACACGACAATTAGACAGTTATTACACGCTTTCGGTATTTACGATTAGGATTACGCCGTAATTGAACAGTAATTATCTTGCGATTACATGTAATCGTATCGCAGCAAATTTAAACACCACTACATTTACTCAATTTCGTTATTAGTGCTAATAGCTATTTTTACTTGTAAAATATTCCTTGCATTAACGACTCAATTATACTATTTCCAAATTATAAATGTTGTGTATTGTTTTAAACGCGAAAATATTATATGGAGTTGTTCGATCATGGAATTAATTTGAAACACGACCAGTTTGCCTCTTTTATTTATTTTTGACTTGTAAAATATTCCTTGCATTAACGACTCGATTAAATTATTTACAAATTTTGAGTTTTGTGTATCTTTTTTTTAAACGCGAAAATATTATATGTATTTGTTCGATCAGAGAATTAATTTGAAACACGGCCAGTTTGCCTCTTCTATTTATCTCACGATGAAATAATACAGCGAGAATGTGTGGCGGAGGGATTTCGTCGATCGAACAACACGAACGGTACTTTATTTTCCGTTCCAGCTACATCAGACGCGAAACAGCACAATTCTTCGGCGTAGACGAGGAGACGGAGGCCACGGAGAGACAAAGATGGTTGGATCGAAGACGGAGAATGGCATCGAGGAAGTACGGCGCCCTTGTTCCGGAACACAGACCACCGGATCCTGATATTACAAGGGACGTGCCAGATACCACGGATGTGCCGGAGGTAAATTCGCCGGTTATTAACCTTTCGCAGTTGGAAACTAAACCTTTGACAAATTTGAGGGAGCATTTCTCTCCCAATAACTTTAATTTCAAACACTGCTAATTGCTCTTCAGACGTTTCTTCCGTGCAAAGGCACAATATTCTCCACACCTTATATTAAAAATAATTAAGGGAGAGTCGCGATAATAAACGTACGCTCTACAAGACATAAGATACTTCATCATGTGTTCCATATTTACTCAACAGAATTTTCTGTACATAAATAGAAGGCAGTTTATTTTTTATGTACATTATTATCTAAACTTTTAATTTATATTCGGTAATAATGAAAGAATTAAGAAGGTACGATTCGAACGAACAAAATGCATTAGGCAACTCTCCCCAGAGTTGGATGTTATAGAGTTCGTTAAAACTGGAGTATGTTTTAGAATATCACAGAGTTACGAATTAACTTGTCGAGAGTGTATTCAGATCATTCTCATGCTAGCACAAAGTTTTCTCTGCAATTGCAAACGTAATTAAAGTTTTACGTTTTATAGGTCGTAAATATTTTCCAGAATAATTTTTATATTAGATCCAACCGAATATGCACTTTTTTATCTATATTTTCGTTCCCACAATTTTCATTCTGCGGTTTCATGGCATAATCTGAAACGTTGTGACTAATAACTGAACAACGTTGTCAGTGATTTTTATTACTCTGAAATATCGACGAAAAGGAACGGTTGCCACCTTTTTACGTAATATATTAACAAAAGTCGTATATTGTATCTCTGTAATTTGTTCCGAAATTCTTTAAAAGACAAACGATACACAGGATATTTGACATTTCGTGAAATAAAGCAGTTAATTCGCCTGGGGCACACGTATCTCGTTCAAATATTGAGTTCTCGGTGGAGTTTCCATTAAAACTTCCTCGGGACGGAAACGCGACACACTTCGCGAAGTTTCGTAATCGAGAGCGAAGTACGCTTCCACTCATTTTTTGCGACCAACAATGTTTGTAAGTTTGGCAATGGCCTTGCGAAGAAACGCGCCACAAAATGACTGTTTTACGGTCCACCGTCGGTCGACGAATATTTACAACACTGTTTTGAAGAACTTTAATAACGCGAAAAGTCTCCTTCCATGTACAGAGTGCTGCATAACACGTGATATCCACTTCAGCGGTAAACTGACCTAAATTACGCGATTATTATATTTGTAATTAACAGTCGTTGAAGTACAACGAGAACCATAGGTCGAGAGCAAGATTATCCCTTAATCTCATCATAGCCATCTTTCTCTTCCACTTACCATGCAACAGATTCTTTAAAATGCCAATTGTTTTATAGTAAAATAAGTATAGAAATACATGAAGATATTAAAAATTTGAAAACTAAATTAGGTGAGATTATTTTACAAATAATGTCAAACACAAAGTATACAATGCTCCTTTATTTTAAACAGTCACTACAAATTATTTTTTAATATTCTTTGCATACATTTTTATTATACTTTTGGCAAATCTGAAAGACACGTCTCTTTATTGAACACAAATGACAACTTGAACGTTTTATCCGCTTTTCTTGTAGTTCTGTTGATGGGCCAGGAGTAGTACTTTCTACAACAGCACTTATAGTATGCTTAATTTTCTATGTATAATTGGTGAAAATGTGTTCTCAAAATTAATAATAATTGTTTTGCCAGGGGGTTACACTGAGAAGATGGCAACAACCGGTAAGACGGAAAGATTCTGTGGCAAGAATGACGCTTTCGGGCCTCCATTACGTTATCGAGGTGAGTACTTAAGTAAAATCAACATCGTGCATGCAATAGTTATAATCTTCGTCGAGAACAGACGAAACTTGAAACTTCATGTAATATACAGAGTGTTTGACCAACCCTGGGGAAAATTTTAATGGGCGATTCTAGAGGACAAAATAAGACGAAAATCAAGAATACCAATTTATTGATTCAGGCTTCGTTAAAAAGTTATTAATGTTTTTTATACCGACCGAAATTGAAAAATTTGAAATCGTTCTAAAAAAATTATTTTTAGTTGCAGGGGTCAATTACAATAATTTTTATTTAATAGACATTTCCCCGAATTCTTACGTATTATCGAGAAAAAAATTCATTACCGAAAATATGGTGTAAGGCCAGAAATGAGTCCCCGAAATTTCGTGTACATCTTTAAAACGTCATAACTTCTGAACGGATTGAAGGATTTTAATGTTTAAAAAGGCAAACAACGCGTATTTTAATGGAGAACATGTAGAAATTCTAAACATATTGAAAAAGTTTTCCGTTGACCCAGTAAAATTAGAAAAACCCCATAAAAATGACCCAATCTTCAAACGGCCATAACTCCTACAATAATCAATGGATCTCATTGAAATTTATAGTATCAAAGTAGAGCTCATAGGTACCTACAAAAAAGTATTAGACAACTTTTCTGTAGAGTGTCAAGCAAATTTATTAAAAATGAAAAACGAATTTTTATGAAAAAAAAAAAATTTCGGCAAAAAAAAAATTCTAAATCGTTCTAAAAAAAATTCTTTCCGGTTTCGGGGTCAATTACAAGCATTTGTGGTCAATAGACACACTCCTATAATCCTACGCACTTCCGAGAAAAAAATTCATTACCGAAAATACAAGGTCTGACTATAACAGAAATGTTCTACTGAAATTCCATGCATATGTTTAAAAAATCATAATTTCTGAACGGATTGGAGGATTTTAATATTTCAAGATGCAAACAATGCGTATTAATGAAAAAAAAAATACATTGTGTGTAAGGTCTACACGTATACCTCGTCTGTGGTGAGAACTACTATCGCTCGCGCGCTTCTATTTGGAAATAGTCGTTCTACAGGAGGAACTTTAAACGTCAATAACGTTTAATTTTCGTCTTGTTTTGGCCTCTAGAATCTCCCATTAGAATTTCTCCCAGGCGTGGCCGAACACCCTGTATAACTCGAGCGTTTCATTCTCAGTGAAAACGAATGCAACAATACGGAATTCTTGATTTCGCGGAAAAACGAATGGTCCATCGATAAGACGATTATTTCAGGGCTTTATAAAAGGCTAACTCAGCGAAGATTTTAATCCCGAACGTGCATTCTACGGATCCTTAATATTCGCCATTACGTAGCAGGCATAAATTTTAAAAACTCGGACATTTTTAAGGCGATAGATGTCGGTTCCCTACGGTAATTTAGTATCAATCAATAATCAAGGAAAGACGGACTCGATCCAGACTCGGAGCTGTTAGGTTTCCGTCGCTCGTCTACAGGAAACGACATATTGAGCTCTGCGAGCGTTTCATTTCCCGCCATTACCGATGGAAATCAAATTGAACGACTAGCCAGTTAATCAGCGTTTCATTATCGTTTACCGACGCAGTGTTCGGCAACGAGACGAACCCAAGTTTCCTTCGAGTTAAGTTGCACGTTTCCCCGGAAGTCTGTACGATCGTTAAGCTAACGAGGTTGCGGTAACCCTCTTCCGGTTTTCGGGCATCGTACCGCGCCAGGGAAGCTTTGATATTTGGCGAAGTCGCACCCAGTGAGTTACTAATTCCGACCATGCGTTAATTACGATAACCGATCCGCGTTAACTCGGAATTTGCCGGAATTTCGGGCTAACGAAGCTCTGATTGATTCGATAACTCCCGTAGCCATTAAAAATACTGATAAGTCGACCCTCGAAATGCTCGTTTTTTTTCTTTTTACACTCATTGGAAGTGAAAATGTTTGTTTCTCATTCTCTTCAAGTGTAAGCTATCAAAACTATTTGATATAGAAAATTCAGGAAAATCAGATATAATTTAAGGAAAGATTTTCAATCGTTAACCATGGAATTCGACCGCATGTTTTTAAATTAAAATGTTAAATCGTCAAAGTTTCTGTAATGTTCTAATAAACGTTTTGGCGAATGAAATTTTAAAATTGGAACGTCCCGTAAACTTTTCGACGGTCAAAGTTTTTTCATTAATACAAATTAGTCCGACGAGCGGAGAGCTAATAATATCGTCGAACGGGAAAATTACAAATAATAACGCGGGTACTGCTCGAATAATTGTACATCCGCGGAGTAACAGTCCGTTTAATTATGCTTGATTTTTATTACCTACCGCTTCGTCGAAAGTACACAACAGGTTTCCATCGAGTAAAACAATCTCGTTCTTCATACCGTCTAACAGAATTCTGGTGAATTCTCGTCTCTGGAACTACCTCGAAGTTATCTCGTATCTTCTTGCTTAATTAGTTTTTTGACTTTGTTTCGAACTCCATCTTAGATGCGCCCGCGGAGATATAAACAGACGTGCTCCCAGAAGTCCAATAAATGAAATGCTTAAAATTAATAGAAGCTCTGAAAACAAGGAACTCCTTTCTTGTTATCAAGAAGAAACTGTTGAAATTATTCTAGGCGATTTAACGGTATTGTACAGTATCTTATTTTCATAACATAACTAAAATCGAAACTAGGATCGATATATGTAATTCCATTTAACGCATCTGCATGATTTCATAAACAAAACTCGTTCCTACAAATTCATCGTTAATTATAAAGACGACGTTGAAGTTAAAATTACACAGAGTTATTTATTAAATACATAGTGATATTTAAGAAATGACAGATTGCATTTAGAAAGTTAAATATCTTCGTAATATTAGAATCTCAGGTTTGGTGTAACCGATTATACAGAAGTAGAAAAGATTTGTGAGCTTCAGTTAATTGTTTAATTTACAGCATACAGTAAGTTAAATTCTCAAAGGGTAAAAATAGTCTTCCTGACTACTTTTAAAGCTGTGTTCAACAAGCAAATCTCACGTCCGACTTCCAAAGGGGGAACGACACTTCTGACGCTTTACATCGAGCTGTGAACATAAGCTAAGAGCGAACTGACAAAGAAAGTAGATTTAAACTAGAGACAAGGACAACATGTAAACACTCTTCGACACTTCTTCGACGGAAGCTTCCTCCACGCTTTTATTCGCTGCGTTTCTCTGTGAGTTACCAAGGTTCGGGAAGTTATGGCTTGAAATACGATTGAAGACGCATGAAAAGGGTAAATAGAAGGGAAAATATAAAGTTCAAAGGGCCGATAGAGCACACTATTAAATCCCTTTCGCTCGAAAGACATAATTCATAACACAATAAGGGTTCTAATGCGGGGCAAAACAATGATTTCTTTTCAATATTCACTATACTATATATTTACACTACGTTAATATATTTTTTGGTCAATTTGATATACAAACGGTCACCATGAATTGTCGATAAAAAGTATTAAGTAGACTACCGATATTTACACTACATTAAAATATTTTTTGGCCAATTTTATATAGAAACGAGCACCATGAATTATAAATTGTCGATAAAAAGAATAGTTTTATGTATTATTCAGAACTCAACGTATTAGAAGGAAGAACGTAGGTCTTTTCTTTTTTCGTTGAGATTACCGATCGACGATCGCGGTGCATTGACGCTTTGCAAAACGTGTTTTCCCAGCAAGCGTTAAGTATGCAACGCTCCCACACGTTCGCGCTGGGATTCGCCGTGATACTCGCGTAGAAAGATCCATTATGGATTTACATAACGGCGTAGCATGCATTTAAATAAGTTGAATCGCCTGGTCATCGAAATAGCTAAGGTCGTGGAGCATGACTGAGGGGTTGGGAGGTTACATCCCCGATCGAATCTTGGTTTCAACCGACCAGAAATCCACGCTTAATGGCCCGTGATACCTCGGGAATTCTGTTAAATGCACGCGGGCATTAACTGTACACGGTGAACGACGCAATTGCGACGCCTCGTTGCTTCTTTTTCCGTTGATGGCGGGAAAAAAACACAGCAAAATTGAATAGCATAACAAGGTTTACCGTTTTGTGACCTCAGTTTTTTTTTCAAATGCAATAGTCGCAACGAATACGTGTACCATTTTCTTTTTAATTTACGCCAAATATTTTTTGATACGATCAATTCTTCGACTCATTCTACGCTGAAGAGTATTAAATGACTGTAACATTTCTTACTGTTTACGAATACATTTTACTCTAGACTTACTATATAGTCTATATTAATAAATGGAATAATGACAGTTTTTGTTAAAGTGCTGATAAATATTCGCTAACTGCGAAAATGCACGAAAATAGTTAATTCTGGACTCATAGTTCTTTAAATGAAACATTTCTGTATACGTATTCATGAAAGTCGAAACGTGTTATTTATATTTCTGGCAGCGAGTCATTGTTGCAAGATAAACATTGATTCTGGGTCTCCCGATCTGGTAGCCACAATGGGATTCGCAAAAACTGCAGCGTATTTATAATACATTTTTTTTATTCGATGAAAATAACGAATATATCGGGAAAGCCCAGACCATCGACCATATTTCTACACAAAAGAGGTCCTGTTAAACGAGAAGATATTCGAATCGCCCTTAATAATTGTGCCCGTACCATTCTCAGGAACCAAATGAGAATATCATTAGAAGAAAAACTCATTAAAAGCTGGAATTTCATAAGTTGCCTCCCTTACAAGAGATTTGTCCTGATTCCAACAAATTCAGGAATTATTTTCGACGACCTATTTCCGAGAGTCCCAGTTACGCGTCACTTTGTCCATCAAATCCGAAATTTTCATACGTTTTTATTTTTCCGTCGCGAAGGTACGGAATTTTTAAAACACTATCAATCGTTGAAAATTTTTAATGTATATCTACACTTTCTTGGGGCGTTATGCTTTCAACTGACATATTCGATCCATGGTTTTTATTTTGAATAAACGTA